GTACTTCTGCTACACTACTAGGGATAGCTGTAGACATAAATCTACCATATGATTGACATTAGTGGCCATAATGTAGAAAGACAGGGTATATATCAAATAAATAAATAAATAATGAGGAACAGCTGTTTGCCAGCAGCCTATTGAAGGATTTCACATCAGAGAAGTTGGCCTGCATCCACAGAATTCATTCTGCATGCAGGAATCTGCTTCATGTGTTTACCTGTGTATGCAGATTACAGAAGGCTTTGTGTTTTCCTGTATTCCCTCAGTCTTTGTTGATGCTACCGCTACTGTTATGACTGCTGTTTAATATATATTATATGGGGATTATATGGGGAGTTTGTACTAGTTTGAGAGCAGCTCCTGCTGCAAGATCAGCAGGGATGGAGAACTGAGCTGCTTGATAGTTGACACTACTGTAAAGGAAGGCTTTGCATCTCATTTTGCATTATTTTGTTTTGCTTATCAATGCTGTGGCTCTGTGGAGAGAAAGCTGGCTGCACCCCTCCTCTTAACTCTTGAGCTTGCAGTCCTGCAAAGCCCGGTGGCTTTAGAACTCCCACTCAATGCACACAAAGCAAGTAGGAGTGAAACTCAGCAAGAGTCTTGCCCATTTTTCCCTTCTCCACAGCACCAGAGGAGCCACCGTGAAAAGTCCCAGGCTACTGGTAGGTGGGTAAATGGCTGGGGTGTTGTTGTTCTGAGTGGAAAAAATGTAAGGGGATTTTTGTTGCTATAGAATCTGCAGCTGCTTTAGTGGAACTGTGAATTTTACTCCTTGTTCTCGGCAATTCAACTTAAGAGTGATGACAAACTGCTTCTCAAGGTTTGGAAAAAGAAAATGGCAGTGTGGAAATTCTTACTGGCAACAAACCGGTACTGTTACGTATGACGTAGAACTGATGTTGTACTACTTCGCTGATGTAAAATATGGAGCATTTTGGCAAATAGTCTGCAGGGAAAACTCTAGAATGGGTTATCCGTGTTTTGATGAGTTGTAGAGCAAAGTTGTACTGTAGTTCTGCCTAGCATCTTATTTCTCCAGACGGTTTCTAAGGGAAGGAGGAGGATGCAATCAGACAGGTCCTCTGCTTTTTTTTTTTTTTAATGTGTGTGGTACCGAATTTGAGAGCGCTCTAAGAAGAGAGGATGACCAAATTCTGAACACTGGAAATGGGATAGAAGACTGAAAAGGAAACAGTTTTCTTCACACAGAACTTTTAGTTTTGTCTTAACAGATTGCTTTTTATACTCTTATTTTATTTTTGTAGATATACAATTAGTAGTATAGAGTGATATAACATATAACTAAAATTTGGCTGGATTTAATATTTCCTTTAGGTAAATACTTTTAGGTACATGAAGAGAGAGATCATTTTTGAAATTAGTTTAACTGTCAAGTGAATACCTGTTTTTAGACATTTCCAGGGCCTACTCATGGCCTAAACTTTTACTTTAGCAATGCAGAACTTTTATTTTAGTGAATCAGTGTCTTGTACATGGCTATTTGTTTTTGATTGTTATAGCCCATCTTTTCCCCAGGACCCTAAGGCAGCTTACATGGGGTTATCCTTCAATTTAATCCCCACAACAGCAACCCTGATAAGTAGGCTGGGCTGAGAGAAAGTGGAACTCAAGTACCTTAACAGCTACAACACATGTGTCACAGAAATTCAAGAATTCCTCTTGGGTTTCATAATTTGAATAAGCAATTTTTGATTTTTCACTTAATACCTAATTTGGAGGAGAGCGGATTTGGACAGAGGTATCATCTTGAGACTCACAACATTGCAGCATAATGGTGCTTTAATAAAGATTATTTGGAATGCAGTTTTTAATTGCAGATTATTTTAAAAAACAAAATTCATTAAGTATCTATATTTCAGAACATTCTGTTTATCATAATTGACGTAAATTGCATTCATGTTATTTTTACTGTAGATTACACTGGAAAGTTGAAAAAGATCTTGGAACCAGGCTATGGCAAAGCAGTTGTCAAAAAAAAGTGGAGATGTCTATGTAGACACTAGGAAATGAGCTCAAATGACATTTTACTGCTTTATATTATTTTTTAAAAAATATGTATTGTTTGAACATCTAGACTACTATCTCAGAGAGAATGCTTTACCCCTTGCAAACTGAAGAAAAATTAGTAGGCACTGAAAGGATAGTCTAGGCAACAAGGTGCTGCAACATCATTGTGTGATGTCCATTAACTCCCAAATTAATAAATTATTATTTATTTATTTATCATTCCTAGCATTTTTCCCGCTGGTGCAGGGTCTGCTTTTTTGGATCAATCGAATGTTGATCTGTTGGTTGCAACAGGTGTTTACCAACCAGCTTGTCTCCCGAGCCTGACATTGCGGGCTGAGAGAGAGTGACTGGCCCAAAGTCACCTAGCTGGCTTTCATGCCTAAGATGGGACTAGAACTCATGGTGTCCTGGTTTCTAACCTGTGCCTTAACCACTAGACCAAACTGGCTCGATGATGATGATGATGATGATGATGATGATGATGATGATGATGATGATGGTTGGCCACACAATCAGCCAGATGTTTAGACTAGATTTGGCATTTTTATCCACCTCCTTCCCAAGGACCTGGGATAGGCAGATGTTGTTGTTTGATGGTGTTAGAGGTATCATTGCAGGATGGAAGCTGTTCCAAGTAAAGCTGCCTTTTGCAATTGACTGATGGTGA